CTGCGAGCCGTGCGCGCTGCGGGGTCGTTGCGCGTCCTGTGACAATGGCTGGCTGGGATTCCTGCCGCGCAGGTCTTCTGCATCTTCGCCGGTGCCGGTGCCGGCGCCGTCCGACGTCTGCGCCCTGCCATTCGAGCTCAAACCGGCGCCTCGAGACGTGCGCGGCCGCAGCTCGCCTCCATCGCGGCTGCTCTGCGGACGTCCCGCCCGGTCCATGGTGCTCGACCGGCTGCGTCCGGCGCGAGAGCGCGTGCTCCGGCCCATCTCCCGCGAGTCTTCTTCAATTGTCTGTCGGAACGCAAACAGGGCGTCGGCCTCGTCGGTCGGATCCGAGCAGCGGCCGATGGTCACGCCGTCGCCGCTGTCAGCCGACAGCGTGCGGTCGAGGCCAGCGACGGGGACCAGCGTCGCGTGCGACGCCGTCGAAGCCGACGGTGACAGGTGGGGAGAGGGCCACGCCGGCGCCGTCTTCGGGCGCGGCGTCAGCTGGTCGTGGCCCGTCGATCCCGATCCCGAATCGTGGCTTGGACTGCGGTGGATGCCAGTTGCGACGGCGCCGCCCCACACGGCTGTTGCACCAGGGCCGCCGTTCGGCGAATGAGGCGCCCCGCTCGCCAGGCCCATCCTCGGCGAGGAGCCCGTGGCCATGGATGGCGAGCCGTCCAGCTGGCCGCCGAGTGCGCCGCGCCGCTGTTCGACCGTCGACGTCGTCGAGGGTCGAACGGTGTTCTGTCGAGAAAGCATCGTGGATGCCGGAAGCGGCTCCATCCGGGCCGCAGCCTTGACCGACTCGACGTCGTAGACCCTCCTGCTCTCTTCCCTGCTCGAAAGGCGCGCGCCGGCCGACATTGGCGGAGAGGCCACGTAGAGTCGGCGCCTCTCCTCCATCTCTGGTGCACCAGATCTTTCAGCCGAGACGGTGCTAATCGCCGATGGCCGCCGCTTCCATCTACCGTCGTTGATCAAGAGCGAGGCGCCCGATGCAATGTCTTCGGCCGCCAGGCCTGCCGCGCTTGCCGTCGAGGCGCGACCGAAGGAGGAATAGGCAAATACCGCGCCTGCCCCTGCAGCCGAGGAGCTGGCGCTGCTGTCAGCCGTGCCCAGGCGCCGAGCGCCGCGAGTATCCCACTGGCCGGCGAAGGGGACCTGTTCGCCTCCCGAAGAGTCGTCAGAGGCACGCCTGTGGTGGCCAGTCCCGAGCAGGTGGCGGCTGTAGGCCGGTGCAGGATTGAGGTCCTCCCGCAGCGCCGGGTTCAGCGCTTGGGTGATTGCCCTCTGTTCTTCCGACGATCGTTCAAGGGTCCGGGTCGAGACCGCGCCATCACGATGCGCGGCGTCCAGACCTTGTCCGCGAGGCGGCCTCCCGCCGTCCTGCACCTCGATCCTGTCGGCATCGTCGCTTGGCAGTCCTGCATCGTCGCCGATAAGGTGGGATCCATAGGTGGGCCCTCGGCGCGGATTGCCGCCCGTGCCCTCAACCACGACTGAGTCCATCGCGTAGAGCGCCTGCAGCTGCTGGGCAGCATAGGTCTGCGCGGCAGTCTGCGCAGCCGAAGAAGGCAGCTGGCCCGACCTGTCTTGCCCGCACGAGCGGAGCGAAACGGCCGATGCTGAATGCGACTTGGCACCGAGCTCGCCCTCAACGTAGAAGTCTAGCGAGTCCGGGCGACGCCTGCCTGACGGCCGCTTGAAGGCACCCGGCCCGCCGTGCGCGCCGCCGGACGAGCTAAAGTTGCCGCTCGTCCCCGGCCGGCTCCCTCCCGGGTATCCCGGATAGGGCATGGACAGGACGGCCGGGTCGCTGGCATCCCTGCGGTCGAGGTGCTCGTCGGCCCAAGCCGGATAGTACGACGGGGGCCGGTTGATGCGCTCGGGTGCCAGCTCGCGGGTCTGGCGCCAGGCCTTGCGGAAGATGCGGCCGGCCATGGAGCTGGCCACGGCGACGCTGGCGACAATGTTCATGAGGCGGTAGGCGTACCTGTCGGTGAGGACGTAGAGCAGGAGGGCCGAGATGAGAAAGACGAACTGGATGACGAAAAAGGCCGTCGTCTTCTGGACGAGCATCGTCTTGACGTCCTCGGCGTCGTAGTTGTGGCGGGAACTGGGAAAGATGCCGCGGGCGATGCCGCGCCAGCCGGCCTTGTTGAGCTTGAGGACGGTGAGGACGAGGCAGAGGACGTCAAAGAGGAGGAGGCTGGCAAAGACGCCGACGACGTAGAGGCCGTTGAAGTGCCAGGCGCAGAAGTTGGAGCTCTCGACGTGGGTGCCGTCGCTCATGGCCGGCAGCAGGACGGCAAAGGCCGCCACCAGCGCCCAGGCCGTCATGACGGGGATGACGACCTTGGAGCGCATCTGCCAGATGGAGCAGGTGCGGAGGCAAAAGACGAGCATGGTGGCGCTGATTGCGATGCTGAAGAGGGCGGTGCTGGCCTTCATCCACGGGTCGCACGAGGACGTCATGATGATGCTGTTGGTGACGGCGGTCACGATCCAGGCCAGGCTGACGTAGCGCGACAGGAGGTAGGCGACCGAGTAGACGCTCGAAAAGATGCTCGACCAGGTCGTCTCGCGGATGACGCGTATGTCAAACGGGGCGGTCGAGACAATGTCCCAACCCAGGGCGCCCATCCACATCGAAAAGTAGATGAGCCTGGCGGCGCACGAGGCACAGAGCGAGGCAGGTGGAACGAGCAGACGACGACCGTCGCAAGGTCAGCGTCGTTGGCTGGCAGCTCGAGCTCCCGTCTGGACCACCGGTCGACTCACCCGATGATGGCGGCGTGCGCATTCTGGGTGTCAATGTGGCGAAAGATGTTGTCGGTGGACGGGTTGACGAGAAAGACCTGGGGCAGGATGCGGGGCAGGCCGTCCGAGGGCCCCAGGGCTTCGGCGGCGGCGTCCGAGAAGCTCGAGGCAAAGTGAGTGGAGACGTCGCTCTGGTCCACCAGGGACGCGAGCGACAGCTTGAACGCCATCTCGGCCGCGGCTCGGTGGGGCGACGAGGGCAGGAGTGGGTCGGCGCTCGACGACGGGATGATTTCGGCCAGACGGAGGCGGCGGCAGCGACGACGGCGGTGTCGTCTGCCACGCTGCTCGGGTGGTGCGCTGCGGGCTGCCGTCTCCCTCGAAGGATGCAAATGCTCGGACCGATAGAGAGAGCCCGACGCCGGGGAGGGGCTGGTAGGGCTAGTGGGGGCCGGTGAAGAAGGTTTATGGGAACAGATGAGTCGGGGTGGCCCGCCAGCAGAAGAGTCGACGTGGCCGGCAACGTCGCCTGTGGCCGGCTTTGAGCAGAGGGCGAAATGTGCTGGCTATCGATGGAGCGATCAGTCGGTATGATGGGTTATGAGGAGAGGAGGCGATGCGCAGTGAACCTCGAGCGGCGGGTGGTGCTTTCTCGAAGCAGCCGAGCCGAGGCGGGCCGTGCCCAGGCGAGGTTAGACGGTGTGTGACGAGGTGCGGGACTGAGGAGCTATCAAGCCCATGGCTCGTGGCCGACGGCAGCGGGGTGCGAGGTGGGTCGGAAGGTGAGCGATGGGCTGGAGCGGCGCAGTGCTGGCGACGAGCGAAGTCGAGGGTAAGGCCGCTGCTGGGGCGAGAGTTTGGCGGGAGCTAGGCGTCGAGCTGGCCGCCTGTCGCCTGCAGTTGTACTGGCGTTGCGAGAGTGGAAGAGGAGGCGTATATGAGGGTCAAGGGCTGCTGTATGTGGTGCTGCAGCTAGAGGGTTGGCTGGAGCCGTCAGACGGAGCGGTGGCCGTGGTGATGGTGGTGGCGGGAAGCAGACCGAAGCGACTGGATGATGGGCAAAAGGGACAGGGCGCGGTGGTGAATGCTGCGAGAGGGAAGAAAAGGGGTCGCCGTGTGTAGCGTGTGGGTTGGGTAGTGGGTGGCAGCCACGGCGATGGGAGAGGGAGGGAAAGGGGGTGCGGTGATGATGATGGCGGCAGGTGGGTTGGGTGGTAGAGGGAGCGAGCGAGCGAGCGAGCGAGAGGGTTTTGGTGAAAGGGGAGCGAGCAATCGCCGGCCGGGTGCGATGCGAGAAGAGGTATGTAGGTGGCTGGGAGCGAGCAGGCCAAACGTCGGACCGAAGTGGCAGCCCGTCGAGAGCGAGCGAGCAAGATGGCAGACGGGCGGGCAAGGCGAGGCAGGCAGAGGCTAGGTTACCGTAGAGAGCAAGCCGGCCAGGCGCGAAAGCCAACCAAGCAAAAGAGGTCAGGCTACAGTAGGGCGGGGCGAGGCGAGGCGAGGGTGAAAACCCGCAAAGCCACCCACCCCCACAGGCGAGACGAGCAGAGAGGCGAGCGGCCAGGAGGAGCGGCCATCCACCAAAGGCGAGCCAAGAAGGCCAGGCGAGGCGAGGCGAGGCGAGGCGAGGCGAGGTATGGCCAGGCTGGCGGCCTCGCCCCGCGGCCAGCTCCCGACCCGACCCTTGGCTTGGCCTGGCTTGGCCAGCCCTACGGCACGCACCACGGCCGGCAGCCCCCGCGGCTACACTACTGTAGGCTGCGGCTTGGTTGGCCTTCTTGGCTGCGCCCTTCTCGCGCAACCAGACGAAGCTCGACGATCTTGCAAGCCGAGCCTTGCCTGGCCTGCCTTTGACACCACCGCCGGCAGGCCCCTTCCGTCGTCGCCCTCTCCGCCATCCTCGCCGGTCTCATCAGTCGACGGGTGGGTTGGCTTGGGTTGGATCTCGTCCCTGTCGATCCTCTTTCGACCTGCCCGCCTGCAAAGCAACGCCACCTGGTCTGGCTCTCTTGGCAACCTGCGACGTTACAAGCGGGCGTGCAGCTCCCTCCGCACCGTACCGTGCCCTCCCGCGGCGGAGCTGCCGGGCCAGCCTGCACGCGTGCGAGTCTCGACATGGTCTTCGCCACTTGCACGCGGCGCAGAGGTGACGGTGACAGCAGATCCATGTCCGGCCCTGACTACTTACATGGCTGCTCTCGTTGGCAAATCAAAGCGTCGCCCGACGGATTTTGGACGAAACGACAAGACAAAGTCACAGACATGTAGGCAGACTCAGCATTTCAGAGCATGGCAAGCAGCAGCAGCACGGGGGACCAGAAGCAGGCAAGGCAGAGAGGACCGCTTCTGCTGTATGTATGCCGCAAAGGCGAGACGACGAGGGCGGCCAGCGCGACGTCGGCGGGCCTGCCGTCCCGAGTCAAGGAGAAGAACAAGAACCTAGGTAGCGCCAGGGGGCCTCCTAAGCTCCTAGCCTGTAGCGCGAGCGATGTATGCATTCGTCTGGCAAAGGCTGCCTCTGGCTCGCCCTAGCCTCGCAAGCTACCGCCGCTCTCATGCCCTGCTCTGCCAGCATCGATTGGAGCCCCTCGACATCGAGACGGCCCAACCTGCCAAATGGTCCGGCCTCTTCTAACTACAAGGTCTGGAGTGCAACCAATGCTGACCTCTATTGTTTGTGCTTACTGCTCCCACAGCCTCGCCTCGATAGGGGAGGAGGACGAGCATGTCCTCGCGAGCTCGAGATGAGACGGCGGCGGCGGCGGCGGCGGCGAATCGACGGGAATTAACCGACGGACCCACGCTTCCGTTCCGTTGCTCGTATGCAGCCAGCTCAGCGCAGCAAGCAGGGCGAAGGGCGTAAGCAGCTACTGCTCCGGGGGACCGTGTGCCGAACCAAGAGGAGGAAGGACGACACGACGTCGAGAAGCCATTTCCCCCGCCCGCCCTCTATGTCCGACCTTGGTCCGACGTCGCGTCGAGCAGCAGCGGCACAGCCAATTTGTCCGACGTCGAACAGCTTCTCCTGCGGCGCGCCTGGCATCTCGCACATGAGGCGTACGTATACCTCTCGCTGGCATCGGACGTCCTCGGACGCCCCCCCCCCTCGACAAACCTGTTCTCGGCCCTGAACGAAACGTGTGACGCTACCAGACTTCGTTCATCAAGGGTCCGCCGATTGGCCTTCAACGTGGTCAAAGGGGGAAGCATCGACTCTAGAAGCAATGCCCCGCTCTGCGACTCTGGTGCCGCGCTCACAGAGTCGTTGGACTGTGGAACATCTCCGCTCCACCATTGTTCTCGCCTTCGAAAGCTGCATTCGGTGCATCTTGACGGGACGCCAGGGTTGAGGGCAGTGAGAAGCCCTGCTCATCGAAGTGCCTACACGGGACGGGGCCAAGGTTGGTTGCCATGGAAGCCGTGCTTGCTTGCTTGCTTCGGTGCTGGTCAACCCGAACAAAAACCACCGACTCCGCCGGCAGCGCAGCGGCACCTTTCTCCGGCACACAAGCAGCAGCAGCTGGTGCGGCAGCACGCAGGCAGGCGAATAGAACGAGAGAGTTGTCGGGGATCCAAACACCCAGCTGCTTGCTCTTTCGACGGCGAGATTCCCCTGTGCCGTACCCATACCGACACCGGGCCCATGACTTTAGATGCCTCTCGTGCCGCCATGGACCGACATGTACCCACGCCCACTCCCTTCTTCGACGACACTCGCATAGACGACGGGCCAAGAAGGGATCGACGTGCCGGTGGTGTATGTTGGACTGCACGCATCTGCGCCGCGGGCCCGTCGACAACCTCGACGGTCGCACGCCCACCTAGCATGCGTCGGCCGTCAGGCGGCACGCGCGCCCACCGCGCCATCCATGCACGGCCCGGCCTGGCCTGGCCGTACAGCAACCACTTCTTGCGCCGCTGCCGGTTCTGTAGCGTGAGACGGTTGTCCCCCATATGGAATCTACAGGGGTTCGAGCAGCTCGACGTAGCGGCCCATTTCGCTGGCAATGAGCCCGTATCGACTCGCCTCTTGCGGTGCTGCACATGACAAGAGTGGCGAGCGCAATGAGGTGGAGTGCCGTGGCGGGCACAGGGCGTGGCTGAGCCCCTTTGGCGCGGCCGCAGCACGGTGTCGACGCGTGTCTCGTTCAGGCTGCCCCTGCTGGACCATTCCTTGTTCTTGGCAGACATCTGCGTCTCCGCAAGGCGGGTGGCGTCCTTGTACACACACTTCTATGCTCGCTCTGCTCCGTGTCTGTGCTTTGACCTGGTTCGCCACCGCTCTTCTCCCCCTTGGCCCCCCAGGCGACTTGCTTTCTTTCGCCACGACCGCCACGCTGCCAGTCGCTCCTTCTACCCGCACGACGATAGGAATCCGAGGTGAGCCCTCCGGCCGTCGCGCCGCTGCGACCACCTTGTTCTCTTGCCCCAGGTTGAGGTCGTTTGAGCAGCCCCTCTCTGTCGATGGCTTGCAGAGCTCGTCGACGAGCGAGGCAGACAGCGGCGGCAGGGCTTGGGGTGCCGTCGTAAGACCGGCTCGCCGCTCCTCAGGCAGCGATGCCGACAAAAGCGGCAGAGTAGTCGCCTCTTCGCTCTTCGAAACCACCCCCCTGATGCTGCCAGCGAATGGAATGGGGCACTGGCCGTCTCTTCCCTCTTCTCTCTCTGCGCGACCCTGTCGATGCTCTCTTGTGCGGCCTCGGAAGCCAGCTCGTTTGCCGGACAAGCCACCCGCCGCTGCTCGGCGGCAGCCAGAGAGCAGGGGCAAAAAAGACGCTTCGACGCAGGCTGGCAGCGGCCGTCGTCCACCAGAGGCAGGCGTCGAGAAGCAACGGCCGCCCAGCAGCGGGGGGCCGCGCGGCCGCCGCTCTCTTTTTCCTCTTTTCAATTTTTTCCCCTCTCTCTCGAGCGCTGGGCTGGGGCTGGGGCTGGGGCTGGGACCAGGCCAAGGCTGTGGCTCCGCGCCTGGGCAGCCAGCCAGGCTACGCCCCCGCCGGCCCTTGCCTCGACGTCGCGGCACTCGGGACAAGGGCGTGGCCAGGGCACTCTGCTGCGCCCGACCCCGAGAGCCGCTTGCCTGCCCCCAATCCACCGAGGCAGCAAGCAGCAGGTGGTGGATGTCAGCCTGGCCCCCAGCTTTCTTCCTCGATCCCAAACCCTCGTCCTCTTCGACCAAGACTGCCACGGACCCCACATCCACGTCTTCCCGACATACCGGCGCCACCGCATCTACAGCCGACTGTTGTCTCCGGCTCACGACGCAACGCAACGCCGTCACGATCCCGCACGAACGGCCAGGCCACGTTGCTCCGACGCCAGCCTTGCCCCGAGTCTAGCGGCCCATCCATCCCGCAGCCGTCGGCTCGTTTCTTGCCGTCTCTTCCAGCAGCAGCGTCAAAGTATACCATACGACATCACCCTGTCTTCCGACGCGCTGTCTGGTCAAGTCCAACCCTTCCTCCGGAAGATTGACTGAGCGCAGTTTCCTCGGCCCTTACGCATGTCAGACCACGTCCAGGACGCGGCGTCGTCTGAGCCTGCGCCTGCATCAACCGACTCGACCGCATCCACCGGTCTCCCTGCTGCGACCATCGATCACGAGGTTGCAGCGCCGGCAGCGCCGTCATCTCCGTCACAACCTCGGCAGGCCGGACCCAATGAGAATGGCGACGCGGTCAAGATCGGCTCTCAGCCGCTTCCAATAGCGTCGCCGAAGCAGTCGTCCTCCGCCAACGGAGTGGCGTCCGTTTCTGAAGCCTCCGATCCAGTCGTCGCGCCCAAATCGGTCGACCGTGACTCTGCCCAGCCCTCGCAGCCCGCTGATGGCGCTCCCAACGGAGAAACAGCCACTACTGCGCCATCCGCAGAACAGCCGGCAGTCACCGACGGCGCACCGTCGATCGACATCCTCGCACAGTCGCCAGAAGCGCAGTCCCAGCCCGGGCTCCCGAAGGTGGAAGCAGCGGCCGGTCGACCGACTGAGGTCGTCAGCGACATTGCTGGCGGGCCAGATCCGCTGGTGCAGCCGGGACAGGCGCAGCCGACCGACGCCGACGCCGTCGTCACTGCAAAGCTCGCAGACCAGCTCGCGCAGCAGGCGGACGCCCTCGACGGAGCAGGGCACCCGCCGGCGGCGCCAGGGATCGCGTCATCGACTCCGTCCGATGCACCGCCAGCAACGCAAGGCGTCGAGGCCGTTGCTGCCGACAGAGACTCGCCTGCGGGATCAAGCTCGGGTCCTCCCGCCGCTTCAGCCGCACAGAGCAACGGCACTGCTTCCCGGCCGCCTTCCGACTCGCGGGATCTGAACCCGGTTGCACCAGACTTTCTGTCGTCAGGACCAAAACCCTCCGCTGAGTCTCTGCCGAGCGTCGAGCAAAGCGGTCAAGCTGCTGGGCCACTCGCGTCATCTGCAACTCCCTCTGCCGAAGGCGCTGCGACACAGTTTTCTCACACGTCGCAGCAAGCCGTCGAGGATGCGCCTGCGACTGCTGAACGAGTGTCAGGCGCGGTCACGACGTCGTCACCGGAACCCACGGCAGATTCCCAGGTGGCAGATTCCCAGGTCCAGACTGCCCAGGAGAGCGCATCACCCTCTATGCCCGCAGGAAGCATCGACAACGCCAAGACACCGAACCCAGTGCCTGGGTCGGCAGAGCAGAGCGAGAGCGCTGGACCAGCTGCTGCGGCCGACATGAGGACAGACGCCCCCGCCGCGAGCTCTGCTCCGAGCAGTGGAGATGCTCAGGATCCTGCCGTCGCTTCTGCTGCATCCGATGCAGTGCCGACCGCCACAAGCAACTCATCTGCCTCTGCAACTCGACCGACAGGCTCGAGCCAGGCGGACGTGTCGGACATCGCAGAAGCGCCCAACACAGCCCCATCGACACTTTCAGACGTGGCTGTCTCCTCTGTTGATGCTCCCGATGTTACGGAAGGGAGATCAGAGGATGCGACAGGAGCGGTCCCAGCCGCCTCTCTGCCCTCGGCCAGACAGGAAGGACCAGGGTCGACCGCGCCACCCAACTCGGCCGCGACTGCAGGCTCCGGCAGCCCGTCCATTACCGGCGGCACAAAGTCCGAATCGAAGTCAGAGCAGACGCCGACGCAGCCAGCAGCAACGAGCACCCAACCACCACCTACAGTGCCGCCGCCCTCAACGGAACCGCGTCTCACGGTGACGGCCGCCCCTTTGACGCCTCTGCCGCCTGTCTCGGCGCCGGAGCCCGCCTCTGGCAGCAGCGCCGAGAATGTCCCGACGTCCGCAGCGCCGCCCCAACAGACCGCTGAGCCTCTTGTCGCCTCTGCCAGCGCGAGCGCAGCTGCCGAGGAGCCCACCAGCGCCGCGGCAATTGCCGAGGCCTTGACTGCATCTGATCCTGCGGTCTCGGCGTCCAAGCCTGTAGAGACCGCGGTCGCAGCCAGCGCCCCGAGCCATGTCGCACCAGGATCTGCTGCGGCGCCTAGCGGTGCGACTGCTCCTGGTGCAGCCGCCAGCGCGTCCGCGAGCTCCAATTCGGCCTCCTCAGGAGACACACAGAAGTCGGCCGCGCAGGCTCTGTCGACCGGGAGGGACACGGCGGCTGAGCAAGGGATCGACCCCGCGACCTCGAATGCCAGCGGTAAGAGGAAGTCTGACGAGATCGAAGCGTCCGACCAAGCAGCGTCGCCCCGGAAGCGAGCTCGGGAAGGACGGGTCGCGCTGATCCTCCGCATCAACAAGGAGCTCATCCGGATGTGCGTCGATCTGCAGGCCAACAACCTCACCGGCGACCCGGTCTATCGAGAGTGAGTGTCCGCTTGTCGACCTCGCAGGCTCCGGAGAAAGCCTGACGCCACTCATGCCGGTCTGACGGCCCCTTCCGCGCGGGCCCACGCTGACTCGTCTCGATTGACATTCCTCATCGCCATGAGCAGTGTCGCTGTCCGACTCCAAGGGAATCTCGGATACCTCGCCAGCATAGCTGACAAGACCAAGGCGTCGGGCGAAGCTGCAGCGCCACCGCCACCGAAGCTCGACCCATTCCCCAGAACGTCGCACGCTCCCGAGTCGCCTCTGCCTACGCTCTACGACCAACTGATTGCCACCTTCGCTCGCAGCGACATCCATGCCAACGGCCCTGCAGCCTCGACTCCGGGCGATGTCCCCGGCGGTGACGGCGGCAACGACGGCAGAAAGCAATCGCTCGCCGAGTCGCTCACGGGGGCCGGCGATGAAGAGTCGCGCAAGCGGATGGCGCTGCTTGGAAGCAGCGGCAAGAGCAGCGGAGGTCCTGGATCACCGGCCGCATTCTCGGCTCCCTCTGCAGTCTCTGGAGCTTCTGCGCCGACATCGCTCCCCACCTCAGCGCACGCGGCGTCCGGCATGGCGAGCGCGCCCGGCCCGATGGCTTCTACGCCGGCTGCGGCGCCTTACCCGTCTGCGCCTACGAGCATGCCTGGCCCCAATGCGGTCTTTGCACCGCAGGACACTTCGTCTCCCTCGACGCAGCAGAGTCACCAGCCGCAGCAGCAGCAACAAGCTCCGCCTAGCCTGACCAGCGGTGGGCCCAACCTTGGCGCTGCTCCGCCCGTACCGATTCCCAATGCGCAGGCAGCCAAGCCGATGCCCAACAACGTTCAGGCGCAGGCGCTGGTCCAGGCGTTCGGTCCCAACGCGCTGACCAACCTACACGCGCTCCAGACCCACATCAAGGGACAGGGGACTCACCCGTGGGTCGCTTTCATGGAAGCCAACGTGCCGAACTTCAAGAACCTGCCGCTCCAGGTGCAGATGCAGCAGATGACGGGCATGCAGAATGCCGCACTGCAGCGTCAGAAGCTGGTGCAGCAACAACAGCAGCAGCAGCAAACGCAAGTCCAGCAGCCTCAGCAGCAGCAGCCTGACCACGGATCGACAGGGTATCCGCTGCAGCAGCAGCAGCCGCCGCAAGCGCAGAGCCCGTTCGGCGGAGTCGCTGCTTTCAACAACGGTGGCGGCGGCAAGGCGACGCAGAGCCCATCGCGGGGCACCAACAGCGCCGGACCAGCCTCTCACTACAGCAACAGCCCTGGCAGGATGTCGGCCTCACCGATGATGAGCGGACTCCCCCATCCGGGCTTGCAGGGCGCGCAGCAGCAGCAGCAGCAGCAGCAAGGCTCGCGACCGGCCACGCCGGCGCGGTCGGCGACGCCTTCGCAGCACTTTGGCGGCGCCTCTGGTCGCCCTGGAAGCTCTTCGGGCCCAATGAGTGCCGGAGGACAGAGGGCGCGCCAGCCGAGCGCGAGCCATATCCTCGGCGGCGGCGGCGGTGGCGAAGGGGCGGTCGGTTCGCCGATGATCCAAAGCAGGGGATCGCCTGGGACCTTCCTTGGCTCGCCCGCGCAGCAGCCGCCGGCGACGCCCCAGCAGGCTCAGCAGCAACAGGGGCAGCCGCCGCCGATGTCGATGCCGCAGCAGATGCAAAACATGCTGATGCAGAGCATCCCCAACCTGAACGCGCTTCCGCCGCACATCCAGCAGCAGCTGCGGCAGCAGTACGCGGCGCAGCTCCAGTCCCACCAGATGCGACAGCAGCCATCTCCCGCCCCGTCCGGCGACCAGGCGGGGCAGCAGCCGCAGCAGCCGCAGCCGCAACCGCATCAGATGGGCTTCGCCGGCATGAGTCCACAGCAACAGCAGCAGATGCGTGTCAGCATGAGCGGCGCTGGCGGGCAGATGTCGCCGATGCAGCAGCAGCAACAGCAGCAGCAGATGCAGATGATGATGGCCGCTGCCGCTGCGGCGCGCAGCAATCAGCAGGGCGGCGGTGGCGATGGCGCCAACGCCATGAACGGCATGAACGGCTTCCTCGCCGCTGGCATGGGCGGGCTGAGCCCGGCGCAGCTGCAGCAGCTCAAGCAGCAGCATCAACACCAGCAGCAGCAGCTCCAACAGCAACAGCAGCAGCAGCCCAACGCCGGCTCGCCCTGGTTCAATCCGGGCCTGCAGTGAGCGAGTGGCCCGTCGATGGGGGCGGGCTTGGCGCCTGGCATGGGGTTCAGGCTGCTCGCGCCCAGTGTTGCCGACCCCGCGTTTCTGTTGGCATCCCTTTGGGGGCCTGCCTCTGCTCTTTGCTTCCCTTTCCTACCCTTGTTGTCCCGTTCGAGGACGTGTGGACCTGTAAACTACGCTACCTCTGCCCGTCTCCCCTGCCCACTGCTTGCCCTCGGCCTGCTGTTCGTTCGGCCGGTCGACGGGCCGAGTCTCTTTTGGAATCAGTTGCGCAGCATCAGCATCTCTTTGCCAGTTCGTCGCCATTGCTGAGGTTTGCTTGACTGCCTGCCTACCTGCCTGCCTGACCAACTGACTGACTGACTAGCTGTCTCTAGGAGTGCTGTCCAGCTTGAAAGGGATCGACCGGGCTCGCTTGACTTCATCACCGAGCTTCAAAGCGTGCGATGCAGCTTTGCTTGCTATGCAGCTCGCTAGCTTGGAGGAGCGAGGATGTGTCTTGACGCTTTGCCCGTCCGGCGATGGTGCTGGCGACCCGACGTGGGCGCCAGAGTGGTGCGTGGCCGGCACCGAATTTGGTCGGAAGTGGGGGGCAGCCGAGCGGGCGGACAGGCGGCGCGGCGAGGGTCCGCCCAGCTCGGCTTTCCAACACCGTTGCGTGCTACATAGCTCTTCGCCTTCGTCTTCGCCAGCCCGAGCGACCCGGGCACCTTCCTCTCTTTGCGTCCCACCCCCTCCTTCCCCCTCCCCCCTGCTGCGCCCGTCCATCACCTCCAACCGAATCGGGGCCCAAAGCAGCAACCGACCACACCCGTCCCTACCCCACATCTTTCCCCCGACCTCTTCCCTTGTGGACACGCCAGGCGACCATGACGTCCAAGATCCCGGGAATGCAGCACCTGCACTCGTTCACCCAGCGAAAGGCGGGCACCTGCGCCGAGCTCAGAAAGGCCCAGGAGGGCCTCAAAAACGACCTCATCCTCCGTGCAGCCCGCGGAGAGCAGACCGAGAGGGCTCCCTGCTGGATCATGAGGCAGGCCGGAAGGTACCTCCCTGGTGAGTTGGGTGGCGGTGGCGGTGGCGTCGGCGGCGGCGCGACTCCTGTCGGCCCCTTTCTCCTTCACCTCTTGCTCTCATATCCGCGGCCGCGAGACTGTTCGGAACGCGTGCCTGCCCTCTGCCACCTCGAGTGCTGACGGCCTCTGAACGCCGATCCTCGGCCTTGATCCCCTGCCCGCTCCCTACCCCATCACTAGAGTTCCGCAAGATCCGCGAGGACCACGACTTCTTCACGTGCTGCCGCGATCCGGAGCTGGCGTCGGAGATTACCGTCCAGCCCATCCGGCGGTACCGCGGGCTGCTGGACGCCGCCATCATCTTTAGCGACATCCTCGTCATCCCGCAGGCCATGGGCCTCGAGGTCGAGATGCTGCCCGCCAAGGGCCCGCACTTCCCCGCCCCGCTCGTCACGCCGCGCGACACGGAGCGCCTGCGCAAAAAGGTCGACGTCGAGCGCGAGCTGGGCTACGTCTACGACGCCATCCGCCTGACGCGCACCAAGCTCGACGGCGAGGTGCCTCTGATTGGCTTCTGCGGCGCCCCCTGGACCCTCATGGCCTACATGGTCGAGGGCGGCGGCAGCAAGACGTTTGAAAAGGCAAAGACGTGGCTCTTCAAGTACCCCGAGGAGAGCAAGGAGCTCCTCCAGCGCATCGCAGACGTCGCCGTCGAGTTCCTCGTCGGCCAGGTCGTCGCCGGTGCCCAGGTGCGTTGTGGCCCCGCCTGCCTCCCCCACGTCCTCTTACCCGTCCTCGTCGGCACGACTCGGGCCCTTTGCTCATCCTAACCCTCCTCCTCTGCCCCTCTCTCGCTCCCGGCCCCTTTCGTCCCTCCCCCTCCCCCGCGCGACAGATGCTACAAGTGTTCGACTCGTGGGCGGGCGAGCTATCGCCCTCGGACTTCCGCACCTTTTCGCTGCCCTACCTGCGTTCGATTGCCGCCTCGGTGCGCGACGCCCTCAGCCTGCGCTCCATCACCTGTCCGCCGCTCATCATCTTCGCCAAGGGCGCGCTGGGCCACTCGATGCCCGAGATTGTCAAGGCCGGCTACGACGTCGTCGGGTTGGACTACACCGTCGAGCCGTCAGTGGCGCGCAAGGTCGTCGAGCTCGCCTCGCCCGGCCGCGCCATCTCGTCCAAGACCAACACGGCCAGCGGCGCAAACGAGGCGGCGCACCGGCTCGCGCTGCAGGGCAACATGGACCCCGCCGTTCTGTACGCGGGCAAGGAGGCCATCGAGCGCAAGGTCGACGAGATGCTGCGCGCCCGCAAAGGCGGCTTCGGCGGCGGCGGCGCCTACATCTGCAACCTCGGACACGGCATCACGCCCGGCGTCGACCCCGAGGCCGTAAAGTGGTTCCTCAAGGCCGTGCACCGCGTCAGCGAAGAGGTCAACAGCGCCAGGGACGAGGAGTAAGGTCGCGACGCCCCCCCTTGTCCGCAACCGGTTCGATGGATGGCGGAAGAGGGCCTCTAGGCGGGCTGGGGGCCGCGATAGACGTCGAACGAAGCCCACTCCAGCCCGGTCCGGTACGGCACGGGCAGGCCGCTGTGTCCCTCTGCTTCTCGCACACCCTGCCACGTCAAAAGCGAGAGAGTTCTAGACCTCCACACTCTGCCCTGGCATCGACGAGCTCGTGGGAATGAGAACCGGTCGATGTCGTCGTGTAAGAAATGAAGCGAACAGGCCAAGGGAAGCTATATGCGCACAGCGCAGGTCGCTTGGTCGCTTGGTGTCTGGCAGCTGCTGCGGAACGAAACAAACCGCGAGATGTGCGGGAAACAAAGGCGCCCGTCTAGACACGTCTCTGGGGATCGTGCTCCAAGCCAATCATGAATTCATCCACGTCGTCCGGGAGATCCGTATCCTCTCTAGCTCCAGCCGGGTGATGATCTCGATCCTTGTAGTCGGGGGGATCCGCAGGTTCTTGCGCGGGTCTTCTAGTGATCAACGAGGAGCGTCCTCCTCCTCCTGCGCTTCTTGTCGCCCACACCGGCGCCGGCGGCGGGCGCATCGACCTGGAACGCCTTCTGCGAGCCTCCGGTTCCGACGTGCGAGGGACGCTTGAGCAGGGGAGCAGCAGCGGCGGCGTCGCCCTTCTTGTCTTCACCCTCAATCACCTGGTCAGCCTTCTTGGCTCTGTCGGCAGGCGTCTTGGACGCACCAGCAGTGGGAGCGGTACCATCAGTAGATGCCTCCGACTTTGACGACGGCGACGACTTTGACGACGGCGGCTGGGCGGCAGACTGGTGATGGTAAGCCTTGGGATCTTTCATCATTCCAAACGCGCGCTGCAGCATGGCCTCGTCGACGCCGTCTTCGTCGCCCTGGGAATCGGCAGGCGCGTAGGCGTACTGCGAGACGCCATTGGCTTTGTCGGCCTTGGCCTTGGCCAGCAGGGCAAAGTGGCCGCCCACGACGGGGCGCGCCAGGAAGTGGATCGTGGGCTCGCCCGTCGAGTCCTTGGGGAAATCGCCCGTGTCGGCCTGCATCAGGTCGGTGAAGGGCGCGTCGGTGAGGCCGTTGCTGACAAAGGCGTAGAGCAGGTCGATGAAGAGGTCGCGCGCCTTGGGGTCGTCGGTCGTGGCCGCCGCAAACATTTCCCAGTCCGTCTTGGCCCACTTGTGGCGCGAGTCGAGAGGCACGGCGTACTTGAGCGCCTTTTGGGCGTACCACGCGTCCTGGATGTCGTAGATCTTGCGCGGAACCAGCTGCAGGTTGAGCAGGCGGTCGCCAAACAGGTTGTAGAGCGTGCCCCACGACGCGTCGTCCTGGTAGGCCAGCTTCGTGTGCGACTTGTCCTTGCTGAGCGCGAAGCCCTGCCACAGCTTGACGTAGGTCGTCGAGACGTTGCGGTAGCTCTTGGCGTCGGCCGACTCGCCGAGCATGTCGGCAATGGCGCCCATGGCGGCGATGCCCTCGATGCCCTTGATGGCCAGGTTGGTCTGGTTGGCCAGCGTGCCGGCAAAGTCGTCGGTCGACAGCTGCGTGGCCGGGATGAGCGAGTCCTCGATCAGGAACTCGGCCCACTGCTTCATGATGGCGTAGTGCGAGCGCAGCCAGGGCTCGGCCGCCTTTTTGCCCACCAGCTGGGCGTAGTGGAGCGCCATCCAGATCATGTTGCCGCTCTCCTCGACCTGCATCGGCTCGTCGTTGCCGTCGTTGTGGCCAAACGCGTTGGGGTAGACGCCGAGGTCGTGGACGCACCACTTGTTGGGGTACAGGCCGCTCTCGGTGTATTCAAAGATGGGCTGGAGCAGGTCGCGCAGCAGGCGCGGGTTGGTGTAGCTGAGCAGCGGGAAGAGCGGGAAGATGACGTCGACGGTCGACATGTCGCCGTTGGACGAGATCTCCTTGAGGAAGAGGAGCGTGTCGCTGGTGTTGTACGACTGCGTCTTGTTGTCCCAGGCCACGGTGATCTCGAAGGTGGCAAACGCCTGGCGCACCGACAGCGTCGTGATGGCCGCGTAGCGGTCGCCCACTTCGCCGCCGCCGGCGACGGCCTTGCTGTCGTCGACAATCTGCTGGTCAAACTGCTTGGCGCCCGCCAGCGCCGAGTCAAAGTCGTCGACAAAGAACGACACGGCCTTTTCCAGCGTGTCAAACTTGGTCTGCCAGTAGCCGTAGCGGTCCTCCTGGAAAAAGGCGGTGCTGCCCGAGCCGGGCTTCTTTGCGCGGATGTAGTTGACGTAGGGCGACCGCATGTGGCCGACAACAAAGAGGGCGTTGGGCGCGGCGCCTTTGACGTCAAAGTCGACGGCAAAGGCGTACGAGTTGTCCGGGCCGAGCGTGGGGCCGTGGTCAAAGGTGACGTTGCCGCGCTTGATGAACTCGCTCTGGGTGACGATGTTGTTGTTGTTGCGGCTCGACAGGCCCTTGTGGGCGCGGGCGGCGTAGGTGGCGTTGCCCCACTCTGCGCGCTGGCGGAACTCGGTGTAGACCTGGGGCGACTTGCGCGTGACAAAGTACATCGACGAGTTGCCCTTGTCGCTGAACCTGACGTCGTAGGGCGTGCCCTGGTAGTCGTAGTCGTGGCCCGTCACCCAGCGCTCGTCGATGTCGGTGTACATCTGGACGCTGCGGTTGGCGGGCGGCGGCTGGTCGAGCTCAAAGTAGAGGTAGCTGAGGGGCAGGCTCTGGCGGAGGTAGTCGTCGGGCGTGATGGGGGTGAGGAAGGTGACGGTGAACTTGACGCCGTCGGCATCGAAGCGGAAGATGGTGCGGGTGGCCGTGTACTCGACGCTGAGCTGGGTGGCGGCCTTGCCGGCGCGGACCAAGGTGCCGAAGCCGTTGCCCATCCACTGATAGGTGGTGCCGTCGACGCGGATGTAGCCGGTCCAGCCTAGGCGGAACTCGCCGTCGGCGCCGTACGACGAGGTCCAGAAGGCGGGGTACTCGCCGGCGAGGTAGCCTCCGTCGCCGACGCTGTTGGGGGGAGTCGACGAGAGCGAGGAGCCGGCGGGCAGCCAGGCGTTGAGGTAGGGGCTGCGGACGGCGAGCGGGTAGCTCGGGGGCTTGATGGGCTTGAACTTGCTCGAGTTGAGGGCCTCGTCGGCGTTTGTGATGCCCGGGTTGGTGTTTGGGCGGGTGGGGCTGCCGTCGGCGGGCCGCTTCTTGTTTGCCGGTGTCTGTCCCTTTGTGACGAGGCGGAAGGCGGGAGAGTTTACGTTGCCGTTCTCGAGGACGGTCTTGTGTGCCGGCTCGACGGACCACTGGATGCCCGAGGCGTGCTGGTTGCTCGAGGCTGCGCTGGGGACGGCGGCGTCGTGGCCGAGGTGTCGAAGGCCGTCGGGTCGGGTGAGGTCGCCGAGCATCTGGAAGATGTTGAGGAGGCCATCGCCCTTTGCGAGGGATGCGGCGGCGGGCTGTAGAAGGAGCAGGCCGGCGGCCAGCGAGCCGAGCGCCGGCTTGAGGTGGATCTTCATGGTCTTGTAGTGCGGGGCGAAGCGGTCTGCGAGGGCAGCGGAAAGGCGCCGGGTGAGGATCAGAATGTCGACGAGGAGACGGAGCGAGGTTGGCAAAGGCAGGGCGCGAAGGCGCGAGGGGGGCTATATAGGGGTGAGCATGTCGCGGCTGGGCTCGGTCAAAGAGGAACGGGGGCCACCGCTCAGCCTGCCGCAGAAGAGGGGGATACTCACGCGATGGGGTCCGATGTGTGCGGCTAGCCGTGCGCGGGGACGGGGTCGGGGTGCGGGTATAGATTTGCGAGATCTAGCCGGAGCACGAGGGGGGAGACTGAGGGACGAGGAGCCGCCTCTATGTGGGTCGTAAGAGTCGATGATCTAGCCGGGAATAGGTCGAAGGGAGTGCCAGGATGGATGGAGGGCAAGAGCGAAGGACGACGACGAGGGCGAGCAAGAGGGGAGGGGAGGGGGAGAGGGGTGCCGGCCAGACGAGGGACGAGGCGAGGGATGGCAAGGAGCGTAGGTGTGGGGGGGTGCGTGTGCGTGTTTGCCGGCTAGGTAGCCAGGCGGTGGTGGAGGCTAGCGAGGGGATGGATCGAGGGGGGGAACGGCGCTCGGACACGCTGGCTCCGGTCAGCAGGCTACCGTAGGAGCACAGGCGGCTACGACGGCGCGAGAAAGAGGCAGGCAGGATGGACAAGCCAGGCCCAGATCGTCGACGACGATGCAGGCGGCAGCGGGGATTTTATGCCTTGGTTGGGCGGACCGGACCCCTCGTCGCCGTCGTCGCCGCCGCTGCACTCCGTCCACCTCGACAAGGCAGGCCAGCCACAGACGGCGCGCAACGGCGCGGCACGTCAATAATGTGCCATACATGACCCAGCCGGTGCCAACCTCTGGCCGGACAGGACCGGTCCCGACGAGCGGCTTGATTTCAAGCAGCAATAAGCAAAAGGCAGGCAGGCAGGCAGGCAAGGGGGCGCAAGCATCAAGACGGCCATGCATTCACCAACATCATATCGTTAACGAGGTGGGGCGGCGAGTGGATATCGATCCGAGCAGGCTAGGGGTCACCACGCACCTCGAAAGAAGCTTCCGCCCATTGGCTAGCCGGACTCGCCAGACGCGCCTCTGTAGCTAGCGAGCGAGCCGCTCTTCATACAGAAGTACGACCAGCCAGAGTAGAGTAGAGTCATGCTCTTGATCAAGGCCCGAACGGCGAGCGATCAAGGTGATGCTCATTGTCAGCCACCTCCAGAAGGGCCTCGGGGCGATGCAGAGGCAGGCAGAGGCAGGTGGCAGGTCCAGATAGCGAGGTGATGAGAGGCTAAGCCAGGCAGGCTGCGCTAGGCTCGGCTTGCCTCTTCCGAGGTGGGGGTCGACGATGACAGCGGCGCAGAAGGCAGCAAAGAGAGCGGGACCAAGCAAGCAAAGACACCGGCCTGCTGCCTAGCCTCTTGTAGGCTTGGCCAAGGTTCGAACCCCCCACCATGGTGACAAGCCACCACCCGGATGCCCGTGTAGGTACAGACGCCAGCCAGGCCTCAACGCACGGTATCCACGCAGCGACACCTAGCCTTTATTTGCTTGCTCGTGAGCTGAGAGCACCGACGAGGCCGGCGATGGTACAGCCAAGGTCAAGCGGCGTGGGCCCGCGGGAATGGGCGCGCGTCCCGCGAGAGACATGATCGTCGCCCGTCGCCCGTCGCCGGTGGGGTGGTATGATGGGCTTGGGCGTGCGTCGATCCGGGGCGGTCAGGTCAAGTCAGGCGAGCCAGCCAAGGCGAGTCGAGGCGAGGCGAGGAGAGGCGAGGGTCTGCGCTCCACCCCCGCAATTTGTCGCCCGCCTTTGCCTTGCCTGCCTGGCCTGCCCGGTGCAGGCTGCTGCAGTCGCGCTGCACTCCACCCTCGAGGCGCACGCACGTCGCCGTAAAGGTGCATCGCACTGGCCCGCCCTCGGCCCGCCAGTCGGGCAGCAGGCCGGCGTGCACCGTCAGGCTAGGCCTACCCAAGCCAAAGTCATACCCGCACCTGCCGCGCCTCAAAGTGCGGCCTGGCGCGCGCAGCCAGGCCCCCGCCGTCGCTCCTCGCCACCGCCCACGCCCTGGCCAGGCCTGCCACCACGAAACAAATACGGCCGGCTGGGCATGCTCTTGGCGCCATCGTGGCCTCGACGGCCAACACCTGCCCTCCCTCGTATCGCACACCTTGGGCAGAACGGCCAGACGGGCCAATGTCACGCTCCGCACCCGCCTTGTGGCCGCCCTGCCTCCGCACATCGCCTGGTTCCCCGCTTCCATGCGACGCCGCCCATATCAAACACGACGGCAACAACGTGACTTGCAAAACGGGCACGCGGGCACGCTTCCCCGGGCGCATAGTCATACACAGCGAGACAGACGGACAGGGTAGCCGCGCAGATCGAAACAGCTCATCGGCGACTTACGAGCCTCGCGCATGATATGCCTCGACACGGCGACGTTGTCAGCGCGCGGCCGGGGCAACGAGGCCTCAGCGGGTATTGGGGGCCGCCATCCTGATCCAGGCGGGGGTGCCCATCAGACAACAAAGAGCGGCGGCGGGCGTTCGGCAAGCAGCAAGCAGCGGCTGCAGCCATCCTTCGCACTTGCACGGCGCGCAGCGGCGATCACGCCAACACCGACTGCTACTGCTCCATCGACTCGTTGGCGGCTTGCTGCGACTCGTGCTCCTTCTTCATGGCGCTCCACGCCGCCATGTTCTCGACCGTCTTGTCTTGGTAGATCTGGCGGGGGGGTTTGCAACCAGATCCAGACGCAGTCGCAGGGGTTCGGTCTCGTCAGAAGACGCCGTTCATCGCCACTGTCGCCGTCATCGCTGCTGCCCCGCTCGTCTGCTCACCTTTCGCTGCTCGTCGGTCAGCGCCTTCCACGCCTCCGACACCTTGCCCAGCACCTCGGGGTACGACAGGCCCGCGTGCTTCTTGCGCACCTCTTGGCGCACCTCGTTCTGGAACAGCAGGTACGCGCTCGGCGGTCGCTTGGGCGCCTCGGGATCCTTGGCCTTCTTCTCCCGCCGCTTCTGCGCCTTGGTCATCGGCTTGACCTTCTTGCTCGTCGGCGTGCTCGCTCCCGGCGAACCCGTCTGGCCAGAGTCGCTCGACGGCCCAGCAACGTTGGTCGTGGCGCCGTTGGCCATGCTCGCGAGGAAGTCGAACGCCGCAGGCACGCCCGAGCCGCCCGCCGTCGTCGGGCCTGGCGTGCCGGAGCTCACGTTGCCCGGCTGGGCCAGCACAATCGCCGCCACGCTCGGGTTCTGCCGGGCCACGGCCTTGACAAACGCATCGCAGCTGTCGGCCGCGTGGCGCAGCTGGGCCGACAGGCGGCTGACGGCGTCAAACATCTGCAGGGCAGCAGCGAAAGTCATATCGAATCGAGGATGTAAGCAGCCAAGCCCACACCGATCGGTCCCCCAAGGGCAGCCATCCACCCTGCGTGCATGTCGCCCTTCAGCCCGCGCCTAGCACCGGCCGGCCAGCCACTGCAGGTGCGCAGGGTGGGTGGATGGATCGGATCTCTCGCCCGGTGGCGGCGTTGTACTCACCGTCTGACGGGCGATGAAGATGTCGTCGGACTGGTTGCCGGCGTGCGACATGCCAAAGTTTCCCGCAGCGTGCTGGTGGTGCGAAGCCTGCTGCTGCTGGTGCTGGTGCTGGTGGTGCGACGGCTGCGTATGGTGGTGCGCCGCCAGCGGCAGCCCATAGTCAAAGTTGTTCTGCATGGCGAAGTCGTGCTAGCCTACTGCTGGCGTAGGACAGACGGCGCACAGAGCGTGTCGAGACCGGCAATGGCGAGATGGCGGTCAGCAGAGGGGTTGAAGCACGGGGCAGTTCCAGAACAGAGGCGAAGAGGAGGCGGAAGAAAGCGACGAGATCAAGTGACTGGAGGTCAGCGGCGTGCGAGGGAAGATCTGCGGGTCGGGTGGGGAGCGCCCGACGACCGCGTCCGAAGGGTGGACCCCTGCTGGCGAGAGACGCGTCGGAGACGCGTTTTGGCCTGCAGGCGCGAGATCGCAAATGGGAACCAGAGAGACAGCGGTCGGGCATCCAGCCAGGTGCTTGGCCGGCGACGCCATGGGCCGAACGGCTCGTCGAAGATGCCGAGGAGGCAACCAGGGCGCCGACAACAAGACGACGGAAGCATGCCGCGCGGATGCACAGGAATCACCTCGCCCGCCAGGAGATGAGGACTGCGGCCCCGCGGGTCGCGGTGTCGAAGGCGTCACGGCCTGGTGCGGGGTCAGGACGGGTCGACGAGGCGACAGCGGGCTCACCGGATCCAGCAAGCAGTAGCAAGAAGATGCGAGAAGCGCGCAGCATGGAGCAGGTGGTGCGCCGGTCGATCGAGCGAGGGCGAGCAGCAAGCACGTCGGACCATCGGCGGTTGCTCGGCGTTGCGACCGAGCAACGCAGGCCAGGCCAGGCCAGAACAGCACGGCGGGCAACGACGACTCACGTTTGGGGCAGGCAGGGCAGGGCGGAAAGAGGGGCGGGGGCGCAGATAGCAGTGATGGTCCTCGAGGCTGCTCTTGAGCCGCACGGATAGGGAACGGCAGCAGTAGTAGCAACCAGCATGGCCAGCGATAGCAGCATCACGAGCGCGGACACGATCGGATCGGAACGGCGCAAAAGGGCGTGCTCGAAGTCAGCGAAACCACGCAGCAAGAGGGAGACAGCAAGAAAGAGAGAAAGAGCGCGGACGGCAGCAGAAGGAGAAGCGGCCAGGGCTAGCGAGCGGTGGCATCGGGCAGCTGGCCCCCATCTGATAAGGATCGCGAGGCAAGATCGACTCACCTTGCTTGCTTGCTTGCTTGCTTGCTTGCTTTCGAGTGCGCAATACGCGGACGGGCCCTGGGGTTTAGAGAAGGGGGTCAAAGGGGGAGGCCACGGTGAAATGGTGGTTTGAAGGGAGGAAATTCAACGCGCCCGCGTTTCAAGTCGGCGCCCTTTTGAAGCTTTAAGGGCTTGACCAAGTGACCGCGGTCCAATTGACGAGGCCTGGCGAGGTCCGCCGCGGCAGGACCCACCGGGCAGGGTCGACTTTCGGTTTTGAATTTGGGGGCGGCGCCCCGAGCTCGGCGGCGCCCGCTGGCCAGCAGGCCTGGCTGGCAGGCTTGCCTAGGCCTCGGCCTATCTATCATGTCGCGCGGTACACGCAGGCAGGCGGTAGCCAGGCCTCGAAAAAGGCGAGCCAAGCAGGCATCGCTACGCTAGGCCAGGCCAGGCCGGGCACCATCACGCGGCCGCTGGTTTGGGCCAGGCTGGGTCAGGCTGGGCTGGCTGGCCAAGGCCTGCAGGCGGCGCCGGTCGCAAGCCCGACTCGCCCTCCGACCACCACCTCGACCGCCAAAGGGGTCGCATAGCCTCAAGCAGCTTCGACCTCTCGTTTCTTCTCCTCGCTCCCATTCTGCAAGCTCGCCACCACCATCTGCGATCCTTTCCCTTTCGCCACCGACCCCGTTCGTCCCAGCAGCGTCCTTTGCCCACCGTCTCGTGCTCAAGAGTGCGCCCGTCCATCCGATCCGCCCCTTTCCTGGACATTGCACAGGTCGTCGTCGTGCTGCTCTGACCAAGTTGCTGCTCGCTCTGGCCCTCGAAAGCCGCCTCTGCTCTGCACTCCGCTTCCGACTCTCCCGACGCCATCAAGGGCCCCCGATCTGCCTGGCTCGCGGTGTGATTGCGCCCGCACGTCAGCCGTAGGTCGCGGTGGGCAGCTCGCCACCCGCAGACACCGGCTGTTCTATCAGACGAGGACAGCCAGCGAAGCGTCGCACGCAGGCGTCGTCTTGACCTCTCCGTCTGTCCGGAACTCGCGTCGAGACCGACGTCCCCCGGACGCTGACGCCAAGGTCTGGCAGCTGGCAGCCGGCCTCTTGCGGACAAAGCGACCTCGGCGGTCTGGCCCGTCCATCGTCGCCGGATCCGCGCTCGAAGGCGACGCCACCGCCCGCCTGTCCCCGTAGCCGTAGCCTGCCGTAGTCGTAGCATCCTTAGGGCCCCTTCCTCGAAGCAGGAGGGCGACCTGCATCCCGTTTCCCCGATCTTTCCCTCCTTTGGGAGCACCTGACGGCCAGCCACTTGTGGTCCAGGCTGCGCAGCGATCGCGTCTGCGACGGCACCTTGCCCAAGCCTAGGCAGGGCGACTCTGAGCTGCGCTGAGGCCTCATCATTGCGACACGGGCCTGCCAAGGAGAACCCCCCTGGCTCGAAAAACTGCTGGCTCGAGGCTCGGCCGGCCCGCTCAGTCCACCCGCCGTCGAGCTTGTAGGTGCGCCCACCTTTATCGGCCACGGCCTTCGCAGATCGCTCCAGCCGCGAGGACGCGGGTAGCTCCGGCGACGACGAGGAAGACGAGGACGATCGATCTCGCAGCACGCCGCCGCCCCCATAACTACGTACGAGGAGCCGGCCTCGAGGCAAGCCAATCAACCCTAAGGACCCACGATCGCCCTCGCAAGCAGGCGGACGAGCAACCAAGCGAAGCAAGCAGCAGGCAAGCGCACTCACAGAGCGCCGCACGGGCAGGGGCCCGCCCTCCAACAAAGGTGAGTGGGTCCAGGCCACGATTACAAAACGGCCGCTGAAAGCCGGGCAGGGGCGCTCCCGATTTTTCAAATGTCGACCGCGTTTGAATACAAAGAGAAACCGAGACCTACAATAGCCGCACGCACGCCTATCCAACCGGAGGCGAAAAAGGGGGGGACGCCCGGTCTTTGGACCAGCCCGTCGGCGCGAAAAATCCAAATCGCTGCTAGCCGGGCCTTGCAGCTGGCGGGCGGCCCCCCCCCCCCCCCCCGCGGCGAACGACGACGGAAGGGTAGGAGGACGGCGGTCGGCGGCGAACGACGACGACGGACGGACCGCCGGACCCGGGAACCGGACCCGACC